CATATTTATGGACTCAAGTGAAAGATCAAATTACCAAATAAAATGCTCAGTCGTTATATATGTTTACATATAGATATTTGAAACGAAACGAACTTTCACTATGTAAAACTAAAAAACATTATAATGACCGTTATTGGATTGAAACAAGTTCAGATCCGATTATGTACAGATGGCAAAAAAGACTAATCCATACTTTTATATATACTAACTAAGCATTTAGATCAAACTTGATCGAGAAGTGTATAGTAATGATAATGGTGCCTTTTAGTAATTTAAAAATACATGTTTGACATGAGGATATATAATTACTTAGGTATCTATGTTTTATACTCTACGTCAAACATTTTCCAGGTGTTTCCTTACGATTCAAAAAAAAAAAATAGACTTTCAAGAAAAGAAAGACTCATGAAGAGTTGTTATGTATTCCGGTCTACCAGATTTGAACTAGTGACCTAGAGATGACAGTGTTCACTACAGTCTCCCGCTCTACCACTGAGCTAAGACCGGAATTGCTTGAAAGTGGTAAAAAATAAAATATCAAATCTCCAATTTAAAAATTTCGAAATCCGCGCCAATTAGAAGCGTAAAAATTAATTATAGTGTAGCATACAATAAGGCAGGAATCAAAGTGGTATTAAAGTCATTAATATAATAATCAGTGATAAGTTTCCTACCATAAAAAGTTTTTTTTTTGAGTCCAGAGTTAAAGCAGATCGAGTAATATAATGCTAAAGTTGAATTGGAGTATAAAAAAAAAAACCAAAATGAGAAAAAGAAGAGAGACAAATTGATAAAGTATTGCATTTATATAAAAAAGTCAGCGTTTGTATAAACAGAAACAATATTATAACACAAGAAACTCCTTCAATGATAATAGAAAAAAACCTGGCGGTGAAATAAAAACAAAAACTTTATTGTGAATAAGACACTGAGTAGCCATAATCATCGGATTCGTGCAAGGGTGCGACTTTGGCTGAAGGAAATTGAATACACATTCTCTAAAGGGTCCAGCAATAGAAGAGTTGTAGAACAGAGCTACTATAAATTAATAACCGCTCCCAAAAACAAATTAATACCTCCTTATCATGGCCATTTGTTCTTATACCAAGTGTTTCCAAACTAGTTTTAAAAGAGAAGCATAAGAAATATCAGTTTAAAAAAATATGAAAGAAAGAAAGGTAGCTAAGTTGTTTACATCTACTAAACCAAATCGACGTACACCATCGTCAATATGGCCATTTTCAACAATGGTTTTTTTTCGGATTGACTTTATATATATAATAATAATATTAAAAATAATTACAACCAGCAAAAGAAACAAGAGATACTTTGCTCCACTCATCCACTTGAAAAGAGAAGTACTTGACATGCTTAATAATAGTAATAGTAATAGTAATAGTAATAGTAATAGTAATAGTAATAGTAATAGTATTATAATACAATATACATTCAATTTAGTGCTGTATTGTAAACAAACAACATTCATACTTCTTTTTTAATGTATACAAGATCAGCTAATTTAACTTGTTGTATTACTAAATCACTGGTATTCCATAATTCAATATATTATATTTGTATACCCCCCTTTTTTTTAGTTTATATGATACATATTCCTTCTTCTTTGCATTAACGTATTTTAAGATATTTGGACTAAATCAAGTTTTTATCTATTAAATAGATGTAATTTGTCTATTTCTATTTTCATATATATTTGGAAAATTCATATTCCAATTAAAATTGTTATTATTATCTGCTTTAGATATATATCATTGAAAATCTTGCTTATAACAGGAAAACTCTTCCAGGTGATTATTGTCATGAATGTTATCTCATTGATAAAATACACTTCAAGATAAACTAAGTGTCGGCATCTCAAATTTTAAACTCTGCCTATTGATCAATTAAAGTCCTCTTTATACTAGAAGAGACTTTACATTCACTTGCCAATAATACAAAAACAAGAGTTTATGTCAGCCTACCGTTATCGTTAAAGTAAAGTCATATCCACTCGTAGCTAATGTTATATTATGAATTACAGTGATAATGAGTTACGTGATGTCTTTATGGCAATGATCAAAAAATTTACCAGGGGTTTTTTTTTGACGGGAACAGTTCTATAGTACCCACAGCGACAATGTCTTCTCAGCTTCATTCCAATCTCAACTTGCAACTGTTTCCCCAATTTTGCGAACAGTTAAAAAAAAAAGCGAGAGAAAGAACTACTTTTATCCAATGTGTTTTTATATTGGTGTTGGTGTACTAATATAATGACAGGCTCAGGTAAACAGGTGAGAAATCGATGTATCACATTGGCAGCATGTATATATATCAAGCCATTTAGTAAAGCAAGCACATTAGTAATATTGAATTTAGTAATTACATAAGAGATAAATGAGTACAAACATTCCAATGTGAGTATCTTTAAAGATGATTACAAAAAAAGTTTTTTTTGTTTTTCTATTCCACAAATGCTTTTTGAAATGGAAAAGTATGGTAATGTACTTGTGTTTTAAGGCTTTTCAATCAACATAAAATAGAGAACACTTTTCTTTTACTTGATTGAATAATAATAAAAAAAAGTATATACTTTAAAAGAAAAATGGTTTCAAGTAGTTATCAATATTAAATATATAAAAAATTTCGTGTTTGGCTGACGGCTTATTATAGTGTTAATAAGAAATCAGCCAAGCTGGACCATTTGATCCTGAGAAAAGTATGTAGAGTATTAAGTTCCTATAACCTCATAAATCTAACATCTGATTTATACTCGTTATTACTTATTGCACCAATATAAACCATTCATTATATATAAATGATTCAACAACTCTCAGTGCTTAAAATAAAAATACTATTTTCGTTGATTCTTGTTTGCCGTGATCTTCAATATAATCAGTTTCAATCAATTATTAGATTCTATGATGATACAATACAGAGTTGTATTGATTTTTATTTATTCAAAAACTTTAAAAACACTCAAATGAAAAAAAAAAAAAGATCGCTCTCTTAAGCAGCCTTAAGAATCTTGACGATGTTCTCGAAGCTATCACGGGTTTGGTTGGTGGAATCACGATCACGAAGAGTGACAGTACCGTCTTCAACAGACTGGAAATCAATTGTGATAGCGAAAGGAATACCAAGTTCATCATTACGAGCATATCTACGACCAATGGATGCCTTTGAATCATCAGTACGGATAGAGACACCAGCAGCTCTAAGTTCACGAGAGTACTTGCGAACAAGAGGTTCAAAAGCAGGGTTACCAGAAAGAGGAAGCAAACAACACTTGAAGGGAGCAACGATAGTGGGGAAAGAAAGAACGTTACGTGCTTCATCATCCTCACGGACCCACCAACTATGTTCCAAAAGGGAGTAAAGAATACGACCAATACCGAATGAAGGTTCGATAACATTGGGAGTATATTCGCGGATATGTTCGGTGATGGTACCACGTTGGATGGTGAGGTTATCCTTGGATACTTCGTATGATTGACCATTGACTTCAATAGAACCAGCACCATTAGCCTCCAAATCAGTAGCAAGCTTGGAAGCAACATCATCGGCCAAGTTCAATAAAGCCTCTTCAACAACCTTGGCATCCTTCTTGAATTTGGGACCGAAGGTTTTCTTGTTGATTTCAACGAGCCACTTCTCAATGACACGAGGTTCAGGAAGTTGTTCACGAACAACCAACTTTTCATTTGTACGCTTAGAGTGAACAGTCAAGTCATAAGCGGAACGATCGGCACAACCGACACATTCGATCCAACCCTAGATATAAGAATAATATGTTACTATTTTCTCTTTACATATATATAAACCAACTTACATAACTGGTCTTAATTTCAGCATCCCAACAATCACAAGCATAATGAGCCATTTCGTTATCCATGTGCTGACGGAAACGAAGACGGTCACTCTTAATACCAATCTTATCCAAGAAGAGATAGATACGAGCCATAAAGTAACCAAGGGTTTCGTTATCAATCACCTTCTTGGCAACGGCGTCACCAATAGACATGGGAACAGTATCAGTCTTACCGCTCATTTGGACATCCTTTGGCAAGAGGGTCAAAACAACATCCTTAACATCTTCAAACTTGGGATGGTTCTTATCTTCAGGATCAACATAGTGTTCAATTTCAGCCATAGTGAATTCACTAAAATAAATGATGACGGTCAATCACTCCTCACTTCCCACACCTATTTCAATCTTTACTTACCGAACACGCAATAAACCGGAGCGAGGAGAAATTTCATTACGGAAAGAACGACCGACTTGAGCAGAAGCAAAAGGCATCTTATCATTGTTAAATTCAAGAAGCTTCTTGAAGTTAAGGAATTGACCTTGGGCAGTTTCGGGACGCAAGAAACTAATCAATTACAAATTTTAGTTTCCTCTCACCTTACTTCTCTCTCTCTCTCTCTTAATAATGATAATAATAATAAAAAAACTTACCCTTTAAGTTGGCCAGTAGGACCAATCAAAGACTCAAACATCAAGTTGAATTCCTTGGGTTCAGAGAGTTCATTACCAGACTCAGGAGAGCGGATATCAAACTTCTTCATGATGGCAGTCAATTCCTCACCACCAAAGTTGTCAATTTGGGCCAAAGTTTCCTCATAAGACTGACGAACATCATCAGCCAATTCTACAGCAACAACAACACCCTTCTTCTTCTTCTTCTTCTTATCGTCCTTGGCAGCGGCAGCGGCGGCAGCGGCAGCAGCAATTTCCTCTTGAGACTTACCAGCCTTTGCAGCCTTTGCAGCCTTGTCTCCTTCAAGTCGAGCTTCAAGGACAGCCTCAATGACGTGATCAGCTCTGAAGATCTCACCATTCTTTAAATCCTTACACATAAAATCAGCAAACTTATCAACATGACCGGAGGTCTTCAAGACATCGTAAGTTGTCATGATGGTGGTATCAACTTCAAGCATCTCTTCTTCCAAGACGAAGTGATTACGCCAGAGAGAAATGATGTTATTCAAAAGGGCACAACCAGTAGGACCGAAATCATAAAGACCAGCGACACCTGTTTTTTTTTAAAAAGAAAAAAGAGTTCATATGAGAAACGGAAAAGAAGCGCGTCAAAGCGTCAATAATAAACTTACCGCCGTAGATTTGGAAAGAAGGGGCATAAAAGAAGCGCTTAGTGACAAGTTGCTTTTTTTTTTAAAGAAAAGAATAATAACAGGTTAGACTGTATTCAGGTTACTTAAAAAACAATTCTACCTCAAGAGCAGCTCTATCAAACTTTTCCTCAGGCATAGACATACTAAAATAATATAAACTAAAAAGTTAAAGGGTCGTTGCAACACAAAAAAAGGACTGGAATTATATATCATTCGGAGTTTTGTTTTGTGTGGCTTTGAAGTTCTTTCCAACTCTTCCTGACTCACACTCTCACAAATTATATAAAAGCTTGCTGTGCCTGCAATATGGATTAAGTAATGTATCATCTTACTATGGTAATTGTTACTAATAAAAAGTAACAATGTGCTTTTAA